CCCCCCTGCTAAGTTTACTCAAGTTATCCTCCGACGAAATTCCGTCTTCGTAAATATGTGGAGCTCTGATCCATCAAGTTTGGTAAACTGGCGGTAAAAAAAGCTGCTGGAGAATGTTTAAGCTCTTAAGTCAATCAATGAGCTTAAATTCCGATGAATAAACAAGACAACCATAGCTAAATCAACATTCTAGTCATGGTGCAATCCGTTAATACGACCGCCGCCATTACATGTCAATTTATTCAAAACAACAGGTTGGTCCGAGTAGCGAGGTTGTGAAAGGAAATGGCTGGAATATATTTCATTATAGCCGGGGCAGAAGTTATTTTATCTGAGCCAGTCTCCTTTGCTAATAAAGAAGGCTATATTTTAGGTTGCTCTGGCCAGTAAAACGAAATGTGACGTTCTGAAAGGAAACTGGACCAAGCTTTATTTTATTTTGCTTATGGGTTGCTCACATCGCTGAGCATCTTGAGAGAGAAAGTGTCTGGTAGTCTATTATCTTGGTTCCCGCTTTTTTGGGGGTTGGTAATGTATTTACATTGGTATTTGTACTGAATTATGGTACATTCGAATCGTGACTTAGAATCTCTCTAGAATCTTCTATGTTCCCTGCGTTTTCTCTCCTTCTGTGGCAGCAAGTTTAGTCAAAACAAATAAGTAAAAGAGGGGAACAGGTCTCATACGGTTTTCGGTTCAGTTTCATTCATCGGTGAGGTGGAATTTTGGTTGAAAATCCTGTCCATCTCTTTAAAAGAACCCCCTCCAGAGGTTGCCCCGTCTCTTGTCTCTTGTAGTGACCCTTTCTAGTTGCTGGTTTATAAACTTGTCTTCTTAGATTGTTCAAACCGTCTTTCTCGCGTATATTCATTCGCTTAACCTCAAGAGTAGAGCTCAAGATCGGTAAGAATGTCCTCTTCCCTTCTAAGCCGGGTTTAACTCGGTTTTTTCTGCCTCCCAAATAATTTTCATCGTAGATGACTAAAGGAAGTCGTCTCTGTTGAGCAAAGTCAGCACCCTGAGACAAAGACGTTGCTCTTCCTACCGTATTCTTTCGGGGAATCACTGGCCGACCTTGAAGTGGAAAATCACAACAATGCATTCTTCTACCTGGTCTTTTTCCATCGCTGTTCACGAATTCAGTTCTCGCAGTAATATCGGAGAAAGTTAATCTCGGTATGTCGACAGCCCCGTTGACTTTGGACATCGTTTCATCTTTGTTAAGTAACTCTTGATAAAAGCTTCCTTGCCTCAGAATTTTTCCTCTACCTTTTTCGTCTCTGGGGCGAACGGAATCCCTTCGCGCGACAGCCATTTCAGAACCATTGCGACATATTTGCGGTAGAACAAACTTTCTGCCCTCGCTGTTGAGTGTACGTCGCATTCCTAACTCTTCCCGCTTGGAATTTGCCCTCGCTCTCCTCTGTAAGCATCTATGAAGTTATAGTGATAATTTTTAATTGTAGCCAGTCTTTATGTCATTGTAGATACGCAGTTTACGACTGATCGGTTTTAAGACGAAAGGCAGTCGTTAATCTGTCTATCGGCTAAACTGTCTACAAAGCTCTAGCATTTGTTCTTAGAGGATAAAGTGCTACTTTAAACCTGGTTAGAAGATTTACTGTCGTGTCTACTTCTTTATCAGATGTCATCACTTGCACATAAACAAACAATAGATATTAATAAACAGAAGATTTAAGATACTTAACATTGAATTATCTTCCTGTTACAGTGACCCAGACGATACCAGACTTGTTTTTGCTCCCAAAATAAATCGAATCCTATGCGTGCCTCTGCTAGTAAATCTTGTGAAATAGAAGTAAAATACTTTACTCATTATTTTTAACTTCGTTCAATCTTAAGACCTTCTCTCTCTCTATGGCAATGTTATAAGAAATTGCCTTATGATAGAATTTTTATCTGAGATAACTTACTTCACCACAATGTCAGTGTAATTATTGCTAGGAAAAAAAAAGGTTTGTAATGAGTTAAAGATGCTCGACAAATGGAGCTCCTAAGGCAGCTTAAAATGAATCAAACACTTGTAAATGACGGAATGTGGTTGTTGCTAATTTTGATTAGGGTATGCATTATAATCGTAGGACAACTGTTGGTGTAAAGAAAAACAAAACATAAACTCCAGTTCTTCTGTTTTGACCATGTATTTTTAAGACGAGGCCACCCAACGTGGAAAGCAATAATAGCCGTAGACAGACGTTCAAATTTCCTACTGGGAATCCACATCACACCGCAGGTTTGCTGCTTACAGAGTGGAAATTAGGTCGCGCCTCCAGCAGAACGCCGGTTGTTTGTTTCATTTGTTGGTGGGGGTGGGGTGGGACAGATTTCGCTTGTCGCTTCTTCCATTGGAAACCGGTAGAGCTCTGTAGGTTTGAGCCCGAGTTTAAGACCCAAGCTTATAAGAGGAGAAAGGTTAAGACAATGGTAAAGTTTAGTTACGTAGTGTGGTACTGTTTCTATTTCAGGACACTGTGCTAAGTTGGAGGCCATCATCAAGAGATCAGTCGCAGACCCCAGGGCTGCTGACAAACCCTGGCTTGTGATTCTCGATGATGATACGATAATGAGGTAACCTCGATAACTAAACAAGCTGTTGGCTCCTCCACCCAGAAATAGAAACCTTTATCGCAAAATCGGCTCCTTTCCCATCGCCTCGGGAGGGGGGATCTGATAAATAGTGAGGAAAAACCTTATTTTGCGTTCCAGGAAAAGATTATGCGGAGAAAGTATCCATAAGGTTTCTTTAAAAGATATCAGGGCAGCTTGGCGAGAGAATAGTAGTCCTTGTCTCCATGGCACAATGTAATGAAATGAAAATAACATCTATATATTTTCCTAATATTCTTTGATCTTTTGTTTTTTACTTCTTGTTGTTGGTGTTTTTTTTTTTAACCACTTCCCGCAGCGTACCTCGGCTGCAAAAGTTGTTGGCGTGCTACGATCCAAAGGAACCAACCCTACTGGGTGAACGGTACGGCTATGGACTAACGGGAGGGTTTGGGTACGAGTATATCACGGGTGGAGGAAGGTACGAATTGCATTACTTTTCTAGTCTGACCTTAAACTAGTCCCTGGTCCCCGGCAGTTTCTAAACCATACATCTTCAACTCTGCCAACAGTCCTTTGAGTGACCTTCATGATCTCATCAAACACTAAGAATTTTAATTACCGCGCCATAAGTAGATTAACGAGAGAAAACAGATAGACCGGGAACATTTACCATTCTTTTAGTTTAGTGATTAATACTAAATGCATGTTTTTTGTGGTGTGTATGTCCAGTATGATTCTAAGCCGGAGTGGTATCGAAGCTTTGTTAAGCAGTGAATGCAGCTGTTGGGAACCAGACTCTCCCGACGACATGTGGCTGGGAAATTGTTTCCGCAGATTGGGAGTTCCTCTGACGCACTCCTCAGCTTTTCATCAAGTAAGTCATGTCATAGGTAATTCTTTGTTATTATTTTGCTTTTTGATAGTAAGCACTCGTTTGAGAGAATGTCAGAATAGATTGACAGTACATCCAAAAACATAAGCTTTCTCTGTCACGTCAGTTCAGCATGAACATACAATGAGGTATTTTCAATAGTTGATGAGGACATAGGTAAAACTCGTGCACCAATAGGTTACATGATTCTCGCATTGCCTCTCTCCATTTAGAGGTATAAATGAGTAAGGGTAAAATTTCTGGAAAAAAGAAAACGGTGAAATGCTGGCTTAGGATGACCTAAGATGGTCTGGCGTTAACTCAAGGGGGGAGGGGAGGGGGGTGGAAGTAGCAACACTTCTAACCGTTGTATTCCAATGATATTGGGATGAGATCGGGAAGACTAGGACTGTCCGGCTCCTGAACTGACAGAATGTAAGCCTAAGTGCAAATTCTGGCAGACTTTCTTTAGTTTTGAGAAGTGAAACAATGTTCACTGCTGTAGAAACTCCCTCAGCCCCATTCTTTATCGTTCCTCTCTTGTTTCAGGCCAAGCCAAATGAGTATGTGCCTTCACTTCTGGCACACCAGACGCCCGTCTCATTCCACAAACATCATGACTTAGATCCACTTTCCGTTTACGAAGAATATCTCAGTTGATATCTCAGAGTGCTCTGTGAAAATGGTGGTGTTAAGTTATGGACAAATTTTTACGTAAAGTGTCTTTGTTCGACAAACTAGAACTCCATGTTTCGAATGAGTAAGCGGACAAAGAAAAATGAAATTTTCAATTACACAATTGCGAGTCAGTGTAAAATTAGAACTTCCAACAACAACCATGTCAGGCAGGGAATTGTGGGTTTTTGAGTGCAGAGTATTTTCCTCAAATGACGAACGTTTCTCTGATAATCTGATAATTTGAAGTAAAATAATATTTCTAGGTAGTAAAGAGATGCAACATTTTAATTCTTTATGTTGTTCGTTGTGTCTTCTTTCTACGCTTGCTTACTGAAATTGCAGAGTTCTCGTCCCTCTCGCATTTCGCCGGTGTCTTAGCCAGTAATTGCATAAGCAATTTTTTAAAGAGGGCACGGTAACGAATTTTTTAATCTGATCGGTCCCATGGGCTGGCATGATTATTTTCCTCTGTTCGCGGTGAACAGTAACGCCTCCTCGAATCGTCTTGTTGATCTATTTTCGTGAATGAATTGGGAGTAATCTTCAATAATCAGCATTAATCATTCCTCCATCGACGATTGATTTACGCAGTTTAATCTCTGTCCACTTGTACATGGTAAGGAAAGAATCGCACATCAAAGTCACGATACTAAAGGAGATGGTAAAATTTCTGTACAGCCCCATACTACATTATGCATTCAGTTCTTGACTAGAGAAAACAATGAAAAAAACAATACATTTCCATTGGAAAACAGATTTGTTTTGACAATAGTATGGAGCTGTGCGGAAACTTTACCAAGGAAATGATCACCACTGTTTTGCGTTTTATTTGTGGCCACTGCCTCCTACAGGAGGTGATGCCACATATGTTATCGAAATGAGTGTATGATGGTAACAATAGAATGCCGAATTTCACCCGATTTCGACTAGCTGTCAGCTATTGTTTTTTCCAGAGTATCTTCGTAGTTCGACTTTCGCAATAGTGATTATTAGGCGCAACACAGACAAAAAAAAGACGAATGCCTTTTAAACAAATTGTGCATAAATAACCCAAAATATTTCCTTTTTCAGTTCTTCCTGTGGCAATACAGCGGATGATAAATATTGCACAATCATTTCAGGATGGCGCTTGATAAAAAGAAAACTTTTCCTTGGGGAATTATCTTAACAGGTGTGATCGGCGCACCATGAAACTTCATGTCCAAAATCGGCCACTACCGTCCAAAATCCCAAATCCGACACTAGTGTCCATAATCCAAAATCGGACACTAGAGGTCAAAATCCAAAATCGGATACTGGTGTCCAGAATGTTTCATTGGTCACTAGCGTCCAAAATCCAAAAGCGACCACCAGTGGCCAAAATAAAAAATCGGCCACTACCTTCCAAAATCCAAAATCGGCCACTACCGTCCAAAATCCAAAATCGGCTACTTGTGTCCAAAATCCAAAATTCAAAATCGGCCATTAGTGTCCAAAATTCAAAATTGGCTACCAGTGTCCAAAATCAAAAATCGGCCACTGGCGTCCAAAATCCCAAATCGGCCACTATTGTCCAAAATCCCAAAACGGCTGCTAGAGTCCAAAATCCAAAATCGGCCACTAGTGTCCAAAATCCAGAATTCGAAATCCAAAATCTAAAATCAGCCATTAGTGTTCAAAATAAAAAAATGGTATACTGAACGTGTGTACTGATATTACACAATTTCCATAGTGTTGAAAAGAACTAGAGATTGTATAACGACGCTAGGAATACTTGTTTTTTCATGCAAAACAAAAAGCCGGCCGCATCCCACATATTTATGAGTAACAGTGACTTATTGACCTTCAAACAACAATTGAATGGTAACAATTTATCATTTTTAAAAATAATAATAAGGATGATAACAGTAGTAATAGTTACAGTTAATATAACGTCACTGGTACTCTGTGAAGATAAATCTTTTGCAACACCCCTTCTAGCGTCATTATACAACCTCTAGTTCCTTTAAATGCTATAAAAATCGTGCTATATCAGTAGACATGTGCAGTCTTAGACTACCTACTTTAAAAATTTTATTTTGCTTTGTTTTTCACTGTAATGGCGCGATTAAATCTTACCTTCGCAAAAAGGAACCAAGGACACTTGCAAGTTGAGCTATTTTTTTGGTGGCACCCGAAGCTTTGTATCCTTAAACGTTAACTTTTTTTCTCCAATAAGTAATTTAACGGAAAGAAGTGACAAAGTTTGATGATACATCATTATAAACGAGAACGCAAAACTTCTGTTGAGATTAGATTTCCGTTGCCTCCTCAAGCTATTCTTTAAAATAGAAGTGTGAAATGTTTGGTGTAATTAGGAGGCTCTATGTTTCAGTTCACGCCCTCGACAAATCCTCCTGTACTTCCGCAGAGTTTCAGACTTCACCAACCAATCACTGATATCACGAGAATTATTGTGTCTCCCTATTTAACAATGACCCCCTCGAAAACCACAAGCCAGGCGCGGTGAGAAAACTTTATATTATTTCATTTTTTGAGAGCGATGGAAAACAAGATAAATAGGGACCTGAAGACGCTTACAGTTCTTCGTGGTTCTTTAGGGGAGAAAAGTACTTTTATCCAAGTTGATACCAACGAAGGTTTTTCTTCAGTTTCCGATTTCAATATAAAATTTAACACTGTCTTTATCAACGTACTTCAGTTTTCGAGATTAAATCGAGGGCAAACTCTTTTCACATCGGGGTCTTTCCTAGTATGGTTTTATAAAACATCAATTCGAATGTTTCCTGCAATTGACTGGATGAATTAGCATTAAATATTTAATCCAGGAGAATATAATTAAACTTAATTGGATTTTGGGTGAAAATTATCTTTGCCCCATGAAATACCATTTATACAAAATGCCTCTTGATTGTTTTGACGTAAACCACATCTACGCAGTCTTGACCCTTTTCTGTTCGTGTTTTGACTGAATTTCAAAAAGGAGGGCCAAATTTGTCCATGAATTGATAAAGTCGTATCTTTGAAGTTGTTTTGCGGGAAGGGAAACTCTACCCTTGTCACTGAAAGAATAAATTTTTGATTGGACAGTTTTGATTTTCTTTTGAATATTTAATAACGATTTTTCCACTTCTTTCCACATTCGCCTTTCGCACAGGTTATTTCTTTGAACGAAAGAACAAAGGATTTTACGGGTTTTCCTCGATGTTGATATCAATAATGACAGTACCACATACTTTTTTGGATCGCAGCTACATGCAAATTAAATCTAGAAAAACGACCGGTTACTTAAGACAAGAACATGCACTTGAATTGTGTTGAATTTTTTCAACACAAATCCAAGATATATATTTTCATATCTTTATATCGTCATATCGTCAATACTTAACGAATTCACACGGAATAAAAGGAAACTTTGATAAAAATCTTTTCTTGTCGTTCCTTATCTTCAAGGTTTGATCGCGGTTTAGGTTAATTATTTCAGAATTAACCAATTTTCGTCATCCATCGTTTTGGGAGGCAGTGGTTCTTATGGTTTCCCGTGGTTTGTCTGATTACAACAGAAAGTGCGTAATGCGAGTACGAGGAATTACGCGCCAATACACTTTCGCCATGAAATTGATTTTTTCTTCATTTTGTCGCTAAATTACACATTGATTGTTTTCTTCGCAAGATTTTTATCCAATGTAAGTCATAGGTTAAAAAAAAATGAAAGAAGGTCTTTTGTCACATCGAGTAACGTTTTTTTCCCAATTTTCCCATCGGGTAAAACTCATACGATTTAAAAGTCTGTTTGTACTTGCTTTCTTCACATGTTTTGTTTTGACTAGAGTTTGGTTTCAAAAAAATTGAGGTCGATCTCGAAAAAGGAAATTCATAAGCAGCTTAATAGCATCGAATAGACATTTTTAATTCCATATGAGTCTAATTCTTGTAAAATTGGTTTTACATTTGCATACTTACCTTTACTCGACTAGTTTTCAATTAAATAAGCGAATTTCGCTCCGATTCAAAAGCTGTTTTTTTTTCGTTTAACTTCTAACATGATTGTTTGTTACGACTGTTACAAATAAAATAATGGAGTCTCCCTGCGTTATTTTATGCTTCTCAAACTTAGCTTTTAAACAGTTTCCTGATTATAATCCAACAGGTTCATTCGGGAAGACTTCTGAAATAATCTCGAATATTCAAAAACAAAAATCAAATCAAGATAGATGACCATGAAAAATTTAAGGATATTTACGTCTTTGTCTTTGGAACTCAAGCTTTCTGGTGATAATCCACAAAACGTTTATGTTCAAGCGTCCTTGCAGTTCAAAATCAAGGATGTCTGTAAAAAAATCCAAATTTCTTCAATAAAGAGTGGTAGTGATTACTGAAGCGTAAAGCGGTAAACAAAGAGAAACGAGCTGTAAAGTTACGTAATTATCTATTCAGTTGATTCACCAGATGCGCCATCTTTCGTGGGTTCTTTCTCTGCTAAAGAGGGCTGAGGATCAGCTACAAGTAATACTTCATTATGACGGCCAAACAGCCGGAAAGGTGGATCATGGCCGGCTGCAATATACATATTCTTCACATAACCCTTGCCGTCTCTCTCCAAGGCCTCTGTGAGTTTCTTCTCGTTCTCTCGCCAATCCTTGTCTTTCGCGAAACCACCAAAACTCGAGGCGTACATAACACAGCCGTCAACTTTCTCATGGAATACCGCTTTATCCTTAGGTACTGGAGGTGTGGCTTGGAACTCGGCTGGGGTGTAAAAAGACATAGTGAAGGCCTTGCATTTTCCTTCGTTGTCGAGTTCGACTTGGGAATGAACAGGCACAGTCATGGCCATTTTCTTTTCCCCTTCGTTCTCTCCCCTGATGTAGTTGAAGAGTCTCCAGAATCCGGTACTTGAGCAATTTTCTAGGTTTCCGTCTTCAAACCTTGTCTTGACCCAGTGAGAGTCTTCATACAAGCGAACTTCGTAACCATCTTTGCATTCGAGAACCTTGTAGCGCGGGCCTTCGGAACCTCGATAGCTTTCGGGAATGTGGAATTCGCTTGTGTCCACCTTGGGTTTCTCTCCGCCTTTCAACCAATTCAACATGGCTGCCTGAGTATTTGGAGCGACGAGAGATGATACGAACTTAATCTGAGAGATCACAGCGAGTGATCGTACGTACAAGCGTAAGTTCGCCCAATGGCCGATTGCGTTACACGGGTAACTGGTCTCCGTGACCGTATGACGTGACTGTTCCCTGGTCTACGTGTAGCCGTACCCTCCCCCCGCAAGGTGAAACAGAGGCGAGGGAATAGTCACTTCATATGGTCACGGTGACCAGTAACGCGTGTTCCCTCGCTTCCTTTTCACTTGGGGGGCGAGTACGGCTACACGTAGGCTAACTGTTCCCTCACCTACAACCTGCCATCAAGCGTTGTCTTTCTCGAGGGGGGAGGGGAAGGGGACAGGAGGAAACCCTCCAAGCTTCATCTTAAAGGACGGAAAATGTTTTTTTAAACATTGGTTTAGATTTGAGGTCATCCTTTGGAAACCATAACTTTTAAATTTTTCTACACTAACTTTTTAACCTTAGATCGTCCTATCATCGGTCAGACGTGAGCTAGAGGGGTGAAGCGACCACTCTGAAAGTGAACAGAGCCCAAAATCATTATGACGAGCACGGAGGAGTCAAAAAGAAATGCTGCAGACGAAAATAGACAAAATACCATTTTCCTCCCATCTACCACCAAATTCCCTTGCCACGCTGCGTTCCGCGTTTGCGTTTTTTGTTAATGATTCAGGTGCGATCCCGTTGATGAGACAAATCGAACATTTCATTGTCCTTTCCTATCTCTTTACTTGGGATTACGTTATCTCTTCTTGTCCTTAAGGTATCCTGTTGGGCAGAGTATTCCTAAAGAATAGGGAAACGATGACTCAAGTGCGGCCTGCTTCACGCTCCTCCAGACTCTCATTCTGAGGAGGAGAACGAAAAAGTGGGCGCACAAAATATGGCGTGCGTACTTAGATTCGCTCGCTGGCCATTTTTTGCGCTTTTCCGCTTGTCTCGACCGGCTAACTATTACTTAAAACTTAGCAGAGGCATTGGCCAACTAACTCTTACTCAAAATACCGTACTCTGCTGCCGTTACTCGAGAGCTCTTTACAATAATACCCTCGCTCCCAGAGCTGCTGAAACGAAGCATTATGGCAAGCGGCGCGGTGATGGCGACGTAGCGATAAAAGGAGGGAGACTTGGGCCGGGTCAAACAAAAGAGAGAGGCATAACCGGGTCGTATGGAAATAGGACTCCATGAATGGCCCAAAATACTGACTCGCTGGGTGGAGCATAGTTTTATCTTCATTAACAAGTTTTAATTGTAAGTAATTTTTGCGTGATTTTTGTCAAAGACTAATAATGTAAGTAGAGGTAAGGAAGTTATCCTCCCAGGTAAGCTGCAATCAAAGAAATTACTGAAAAGAGGCGTTAAAAAATTCAGACCGACGGGATTTGAGCCCGTGCAGCAGTGCATCACGGGCACCACTACCAAAACTATTTACGATAATAAAGAAGCTTTTATAAAACGCGGTAAGTTATGACTAAAACCGCCTTACCACTACTTTCAATTCTGAAAAGCAAAAGCAACAACCTCCTTTTTTTTTAGTTTTGAGGGGGCTCCCACAGGAAACGAACTAAATGTTACTTAGGTTCAAATTCAAATGATTCCAGATGTTATTGTTTGCGTAAATTCAGTTAAATGAGAGTGTTGACTACTTTTTCGCTTTTATCTAGGATAGCCTTTTTTCCTCTTCATGTTCACATATTTTATTTCAGTTTTCGCACGAAAGGCAGATTTACGCATTAGGACATTCGTTGCAAAATTATTCTCAGTTCTATCTTGTGTCAAAAGACGCCAGAAATTCTCATACTTTAGCTGTACATCATGAGGGGTCTCTTTCAAAACGCAGATATAAGATATTTTTGTAAAGCATGGTGGAATTAAACTACAATCAGATGTTATCGATTTGATTCTTTGTATTGAGTTTAAAGAGCTCTTGTTATTTCACACGACACAAAAAAGCAAATTCTTGGAGAGAGTTCAGAATCGCGCAGCGTTGATTGAAGTCGCTAATACCAGAGAACAAACGGAAAAAATAAAACACGCAATCAAAACGCCCAAGAGGCAAAGCGTTTTCTTATCAGTCATTTCCAGCTCATGCAAGCTTGGAACTTTCTAGTATTCAACTGTAGTTATTTTTTTCTTTTTTTTTTTTTTCGCGTCTGAGAGTTGTGTATTGATCAGCATGAAACCTCATGCTGAAAGTCGGATATGGAGTTTGATGTTAAGTGCTTCCTCAATCCTAAGACCATTTGACTCTAGAGTGGTCAAGAGTTATTCGCACTATTTATTATTGTCATCTTATTTTGAAAGAGTGCGACTGACACAGCTCACCATCTCTCTTTATAACATAAAAGATAAAATAAGATAAAATCTTGTAACTATATTTCCGAGCTCAGATTTTGTAGGAGCCGCGCAAAATTCATCCCACGACATTCATCACCAAGCGAGTAAATATTTTTTCAATAGACACCTGGAGATATGATTATTTGATGTATGTTGTGGAAGGATTAATTGGTTGCTGATGGCCGTTTATACGGCATGATGAGAAATCGGAAATGTTTACTTGGCAATAAACCACCTGCAAACAGATAAGCACCATTATACCTTGACAAGTTCGTTTTATTTTGCAGCCTACGGGTGAGAAATAACCAATAAAAAACCAATTGAGTAAAAATGTCGTGATTTTCCTACCATGTTCGTGACAAATTTTCTTAACCTGTTGGCACAAAGACATGTAATATAAGTTTCGGAAACAATGGAACGTTACCAGGCCGGTTTCATTATTTTACAGGGTTCGGGAACGATCTCTCTGGAACAACAGGATATCAAACTTGCTAATCTCAATTTCGCAATAAACATTCACTTAGTTTTATTTAATTTGTAGAACAATGAAAACATATTTTTTTACAAGTTTGATCTTACGCCGTTTATTTTTCGGTGTCATTGGTCCTGTAATTTCCAAAAGCTAATTAAGTTTACACGCCGTAAACGCTGCCAAATGTCACAACATGCCTATCTCTGACCTTCAACCTTAAGTCCTTTTGACGTAATTGGCTCCAACATCTACATATAAAGGCTCCACTTTGTGAATTGGGTGTAGAATATCTAGCTTAAAGCGAGACAGTATTCACGTCCGCATCGAAAGGGTCAACAAATTGTCGAATCCAGAGGAAAGAGAGTCTATGGCTTGTCTTAAAGAAATCGCTACGTTTTTGTTTCTTGGGTTCTTGCTGGATTTCTCAAGAGCAAGATATAATGATAAACGTAGGTATAATTACAATTGAAAACAACCACACACCACGTTTCTCTATAAAAAAAACAACTTCCTCTGGTTACAAAGATTTCCTGGTACAACATGGCCACATCCGTACTTCAATTACTTGTAATACTTGTGTGATAATCAGTGAAGAAAAAATGTTTAAATTGCTACATCAAATCTCAATTTCAGAGCTCACAGCGTTCGGCACAGACCAAAACATCGATAGAACTCAAGAGTCGTTGATACTCAATTCATGGATGGAATCAGAGAGAGTGACTTTTGGAAGGTTGAAACGTCAAATTAAATCAAAGAAGAGGACCTCGAGATATCGTTTGCCATACTTCCCTCTATATCCAATAGACCTACCAGGTAATTGTTCATCTATTACCCAGTTACACTTGTTTAAAGGAAGCAATTCGTGTTAAGTTTTGATAGTGGCGTGCATTGTCAGAAGTTAGTCATTAAGTTGCAAACGATATACTCATCTGTTCCACTAAGGCATACATCTTATCTTGGCTTCATTAGCGATGACGATTTGCAGACACTCTTAGTCAGCGTAAAGAAAAAGGAATTAACTCTCTCCTAACACTTTGGTATTATTATTTATTTGCACGGATTTTTATGGCGAGATTCAAGCTGCTTAGCATGCTCCAAGTGATTTTTTTGTACAAAATAATCTCTCCAACCTCTCCAACCTCTCTGCCACACGTTCTATTTAAAGATCAAAGAAACTTGCCGCCATACCTTCTCGAAGTTTCTCGGTTCAAATGTTTCTTACAATTTAGCCTTTTTTCGTCATTCAGTAAAGCGAAATCTATAAATCTCATATTTTAATGATTCTTTAACTGATATGTCAAAATTTTTCTGGTTGTTTAGATTTTCATTGATTTGTTTCGTTAAAAATCATTTATGTTATGAAAAGTTGTAAAATTTTCTCTAAATGATATTATGGTTATCATAACGAAAACAAAGTTAAATTATACTCGGTGATATGAATGTAGTCACATGGTAATAAACCCATTATGAAAAGTTAAAGTGATAAATCTTCCCTTCTTTAAATTTGTCAACTGACTTCAAAGGATGAAAACTATAAAACTTTGTCGAAGCAAGTCCGGAAACACTAAACCAACAAATGCTTATTGAAAGATTAGACTGGGTCACACTTTTACCCCAAATGGAATTACGCAGGTTTTTAAAACAAACCGTCGAATCTCCTCTAATCTTACAATAATGTGAGAATTACGAGAATTTGGATCAGATCAAATGAAACTCGACAACGTCGTATTAAAACTGACATAGAATACCAGAACAAGTGTGTGTGTGTGTGAGAAATTTAATAATGTGATACGTGAGTGTGGCGAGTTTTTGTAATAAATCTTTTCTTTCTTTATTCCTGTTTTCGTTTCGAAAAAGAGAATATCGATAATTAAATTTCATTCCTGAGCTGCTTTTTCAGCCTATCGCAGAGAAACGAACGCTTCAAAACAATGTTTAAATGTACTGAGAGGAGAGACTTTTCTCCCGATGTTCTTTCCTTATCCAGCAGACTAAACATACCGAAACTCGAACTCGTTAAGAGTTGGCCTCATCAGTATTCATCAAAAAAGTATTAGATGTATCAAAACCCTGAAAGAATTCCAAGCCAATCAAATAAGTACGCACAAGTGACTGATATCAGTAAGAATGAGCAGAGAGCATTCTATTAATTAACACGGCGCTGTCAACATATCTAATCCTATGCCTACTGCGGATTTCTCACCAGTGAAAGTGTGAAGACACAACAGTGGTGTTATAACACACGCCAGGAGTTAAGTTAACTTAAGGTTGTATAGCTGATATGCTCTGCTGTGCGGCTCAATTCATGTCTCCATTCCAAACATTTTTAAACAGCACTTATGAATCAGATCAACAACAACATCTGGTTCGTCTCCGCTGATCACTAACCTGTAAAATTCTTCCGGTCCCTCTTGAGTACAAAAATACCAAACATCTTATTTTTCAAGAAAGATGTTTTTTCGTCTTGTCACCAGCGTGGAACAAAGAAAAATTCTGAGTTCTCATGAGGAATCGAACCTCAGACCTTCGGATTTGCGCTCCTATGCTCTACCACTGAGTCACAAAGACTCTTCGGTGAGCGGGGTCTATTACGAAGTTCTAATGGCACGCGTCCTGTCAAAAACATTACGCTATCGACATTGCTGATCCTAGCAGTATGCAGGACGCGTGTCATTAGAACTTCGTAATAGACCTCGCTCACCGTGGAGTCTCTGTGGCTCAGTGGTAGAGCATCGGAGCGCAAATCCGAAGGTCTGAGGTTCGATTCCTCATGGGGACTCAGAATTTTTTCTTTGTCCCACGCTCGTGACAAGACGAAAAAACATCTTTCTTAATTCTTCATCGAACTCAAAACTTACCATCTCTACTTTTCTGTCATCTTATTTTTCACTTTCAAAGGGACCTACTCTTAAAAGTGAAATTCACCTGAACAGCTTATGGTGAAGGTTGTATTGTTTTCAATAATCTTGGCAAACACGAGAAAACGATATGCTCTGCTTTCGGTGTAACCGGAATACAAAAATATCTTTTTGTTTCCTCTGAATAGAATCACTTCCCTTCAGTTTTTCTGCTGGCACGCAGTAATTCTTTTAAGATGCTTGAGTTATTATGCTACGTACCTATACAAACGCCTACAATTCACTGGAATATGGGAAGTCGCTGAGCTTATTTTAAGCACAAAACAACAACTTTAAAAACAACAACTAGATTTGAAGCTGTCAACTGGTACATACTGCTAACGTGTGCTGGCTAAAAAATGCAACGACATATTCACTTTCCTCTTTGTCAGCCGACCTGTATTTAAAAATTCTTCAGATCCGTATGTAACATGCATGATTTGAAGTCAATCTTTTTATTAAAAAATCATTTTTCTCTTTTGTCCGCCGTAAGCGCAGCTCTCGAGGGCGTGAGTAGTTTTCCAGATGTACCACCTCCAGTGCGTAAATCAGAGTTATTGAGGCGTTTTAAGTAACCTCGCTAATCAATCCTATTTAGTCTGTCTCGATCGCGAACCTTTGCGTCATTTATACTTAATGGTTCAAATATTGCCTGTTGAACTGGTTCCAAGCTGTTTTTGTTGTTTTTTTTTATCAGCTTTCTCAACTTGCTTTTTCCTGTTTTCATTTTAAATATTTATGGAAAGACAGGAAACTGTTCTGACGAATTAGCTCAAAAGCTGCCTGCCTGACAGGTCATGTAGGCAATAGGTTCCATTGAAATCCGTAGAATTCTGAAAAAGGCATTTACATTCTGAAAACGTAATGAAAGTTATGCGTCCTTAAATAAACGGAAAATGTGTTTCGTCCTCACAAACAGTGATCACCAGCAACGGAGACGCTCGATAGCATCCTTATACATGCGCATAATATGCACCTCATCATCCCACCGAAAAAACGCTAAACGTAGATGATGTTAGTAGGTGGACGAGTGAATTTTTGACTAGGGTTTAAGTTCTCAAATTCCTCTTCTGCTTTTTCGATGGACAGCTGACCCATAGGAACGTGGAGGGTAAAGCTAACCGTTCTGTTGTCGTTTTGCTAATTGAGTTTTGCTGTAAAATGTGTGACGGCGTTACTTTAATTTTTTTTTTTGCTTCACATTGTAGAGTGTAAAGACAAGGAACGTGAAGCAAAGAGTGGAATGTGTAAATCCTGGGCAAAGTCTGATTACTGTAAAAAAGCAAAGTCCGTGATGGAAACGTACTGCCCGAAGGAATGCGGATTTTGCAGTAAGTTGCTGTTTACTCTCCAGAATATCTTGCTCCACTCGTCACTCTTTTGGTTCCCCGTCTATTACTCGTGAGGGGGGAGGGGGATACAATAAGTCGGGTGGTATAAAATTTGTCGGGTGGTCGAAATTAAACTGAGGCACCTTATACGTGACGGATTTACTGCGCGTAAAATAAAACAAAATGTCTTCAACACTCGGAGCAAACGTATTAAAAAGTGATGTTCTGATGTACTATATGCGAGTTGGACTGTATAGCTGGCAACAGCCGTGAGTTAGATGAAGTGAATCCTGTCTTGTGATTGGCTACTGGTGGGCTTGCCTTGATTGTGCTCGTAAAATACTGAAAAGTTGCCAAACATTTGTCAAAAATCCACATAGTTTCTACCTGAATATCAAAAGATGCTACTTAAATTTCTGGATAGGAAGTTACGTTATTATTCAACTTATTAATTTAAAGACGAGCACACGCCGTTACAGTTGGCATTCTCATTGCCCAGCGCTCGAAACAAACCTGTAATCTTGGTCCTTATTTTAAAAGCGTAAGATAAATCCATTATATATTGACCAAGCTTGATTAATCAAGGATACCGGATATTAACCTGATTCTTTTTTATTTGCGGTTTTGTGGATCTCGACTCGTCTTGGTCCATGAAAATAGAGAAAAAAAGAACTCAACCAATATCCAACCATCTCGACCTCGCGCTTATTCAGTATCACATGTATATGTAATCAGATTATAGCATGAACAAAAAGCACTCCTGCTAGAAATAAACCTAAGGGCTGAATAAATTAAAGTGGTAGACATAACACTGTACAACGAAACATTTCCTATTGTGTTTTGCCAAGTTATGTTTAATATCGAAAGTAAAACTGATGATCTTATCTCATCTGTCACGCCACTTTGTTAATTTTTTACTCATATTCCGGGAAAAAGAGGATGTTTTGTAATTGTCGGGAGTTCGAGAAACAGAAGGAACTTAAATAATTCATGGACGGCATTCTAACGACGACGACATCGGTTGCTTAAGCACTTACAAGAGAGCGTTTGGAGAGAGCAGAAGAAAATTTACAACAAGCTTACAGCCATGGCTGAAATTGTTGAAGAATTTGAGAGGAAAGCGAGATTTAAAGATGAAATTGAAGCTGATTTAATCCGAAAGAAGCTCGAAACACTGGTGATCAGCATCCTGACGAAAGTCGAGCAGAGAGACGAGCGGTTTGAGAGCACTCTTATCCACAGCGGGAGTGTTTACGAAGGAGCTAAAGTTCGCCAGCCAGATGAATTCGACTTCATGGTGAAACTTAACTCTCTCACGAACAAGCCATCCTTTCATCAGTGCGAAAAGAGAGAAGGTTACGTTAAGCTCGCTCTGGAAGAAACCGAATGGAGGGAATTTCAAGACGAAGAGGGCTTCTTCAGTCCAAACATGGTCTGTCGCCATTTTAAGAAACTCGTGAACGAATGTTTAAGCGAGGCAGAAGTACCAAAGGAACTTCAGATCCGGCGAGCTAGTCAAGAATTGTTGGGTGGGTCGTGGGGACCGGTGTTTTCTGACATACTCGGTAGCAGTGGTGCTGAAGACAGTGCATCTGGAGTGATTTACTCCGAAACTCACGGCCCAGCCACAACACTTTACATCGATTGGCAAGGCGGAGAGACTTACAAAGGTCTCACTGTTAGTGTCGACCTGACCCTTACAATAGAGTACCCCTTATCCAGCCTCCCTGTTCAGTTGAGGAGCATCCCGCAAGAAGCAGAAGCGATCCTTCATGAGAAAGGATTTCAAGTGGTACCTGCTGCCTTTGATATGTGGCGTGTATCGTTTTCCACTGCCGAGCGAAGGATGCTCACCTCTGCTCCAGATGGCTTTAAAACATGTTACCGAGTTCTTAAAACTCTACGTGATGACATCTCAGAGAAACTAATGCTAGAATCCTCCCTGTTGCCGTCGTATATGTTTAAAACAGTCCTTTTGTCAGAGCTCTTTTCCAAGCCGACCCATTTCTGGGAAAATGAAATTCTGTCACAAAGAATCATTCACGTCTTAGAAATTGTTTTGCAAGGGGTGAAACGGGGAGAAATTCAGAACTTCCTCATACCAAGATGCAATCAGCTGGCTGAGGGGGGTCATGAAAGCAAGCTGCGTCTTTGCATTGTGAGCGAAATGCTGAATCGTGTGAAAGGCTTAGAAATGACCCGCACTTTTAAAGAAGTTCAAGAAACAAAAAGGTGTGTCCGGCTTTTAGAGATGATTGATATAGTGGAGTACGTGTTTTCCAGCGCCCTGGCTGGAAAAGATCTGGGCGCTCTCTGGAATAAGATGTTTGTTAACATTGGAAACGTGCCTGGGTCGCGCCGATTTGGCTGGTTTTGGAATCAGTTTACCGATCTGAACACTACAGAGCTCGATGAAGATGCCTATGCGAATCTGATCGAAATATGGCACTTAGTGGAAGATGCCTTTAGGGAGTTACTGGGAACCCTCTCAGGAGAACTAAACTTGTTAGTTCAGAAGTTCTACATAAGGACCTGTGAAAAGAAAAGGAAATTCGAGATTGAGCATGCTTACCGTGGCCTGTCCGCTGGACATAAACCACAGCAGATTTCTCTCCACCAAATTTCCCAAGAGATGGTAGACGATCTGGCTGAATCCTACGTCGATGAGAAAAATTCATCCTGGGCAAACCTGCATAAAGCAATTCCTGCCGACAGCAAGAATAAAGTGGAGGTTTTACGTAACGTAAGGGATAAAACAGAGAAAGAAGGGAGCGAGAAAGGTTTTGATGCCTTTAAACAAACCTTGAAGAGGTATTTGGGTATAATCCCCGAGAATGTCTTGATGTCTGTCATCGTTGGCTTCACTGGACAACTTTTTTTACATGCGAAAGAAACACTGACACTTAAACTTGAATACATCAAGATCCCAGAGTTGGATTTAGACTGAAATTTTATTAACTGTCGGAAGATCGGTGATCATCTAACCATGGTGCAGTGAGGGAACTTGCACAAAATCAAAATCATTAACTTTTCACTAATTTGACAAACTACGTTTTGGTTAGTACGAACAAGTCGATTCAGTTGAGCTCAAACGGACATTATTTCAGATAAGAATTTGTATTAAATTGTTACCCTCCTCTCTTAAAATTTTTACTTTACAAGGAATAAAGAAAATGTTCCACTAGACATAGATTGACATACTTTCAGAGGTTCTTTTATTCCGAATGGCGTTAGTAAATATGATTAAAGGTTTCAGCCGTCCCTGCTTAGCTAGAGTTCCCTTGTAATTTTTTGCTCATTGTTACCGAGTGCTGGTTTTGGTTGGGAACCACGCCTTATCAACACTTTCCTGGGGTGAACGCCCAGTTCCAGGGACAACCGAAAAATCTGGGCAGATGATGAGCACTCAAGCTACCCTTTCTTCCCATCCTCGTATTCTACGCAAAAACTTTGGCGACAAAAGAGCGAATTGCGGCAGAATTGGGTAGGGCTGAAAGGGTTGAAGCACTGAGCAAAATCACTCACTCTGATAAGTTGCTTTCAGCAAATATCCTGTTCTTCGAAAAGGGTCTCAGTGTCTCTCACAGAAGGGATTGACATGTAATTTCTTCTAACAATATCTAACCATTTCTCAGCGCATTGACTATGAGAATAAACAAGTTATTAGCTTCAGGGTGTCATTGATACATGACATCAAATTCTCTGACCAAACCAATTTACGAGGCAGTGTATAGCAGCTAGAGGAAAGAATTATGAACTACAGCTTGGGGCTTGAGCTAACAGTCTCAACAACTTTGTCAGGCTCTTTCTCAGGGTCAGGCCATAAAGAATAGGATAATGTTCTATCACACAACATTCCCTTTCCTTCTTAGTCAATTGTGTCAGGGATCATAGAAAACTAATTTCCCCACAGCGTTTTAAGTGAAGGTTAAACACCCTTCCCCAATGTTGACGTGAGGGAGTTGGAATAACTGTACAGGAGAAGTGATTGGGAGCAAGGCAGCAAAAGCTTGGTTTTCGAATTGTTGACAAAGATATGTCTAATTGTATTTTCAAAATCCCATTCTCATCTGCAGAACAATTCAGTCCTCCGGGATGTCAATCGAGGAAACATGGCTGTTGTTGGAATAATTTACGTGCCAGAGGGCCAAATGGACAAGGATGCCCAGGTAAGTGACACCTTGGCGACCTCAAAATCAGTTATCCACACTGTCTACCATACATTCCTATACAGTCCAACCGTCAAAGTTCAGCCTTTGTTTAACAAAACCACATTCTAAGCCATCTCCAATTTAGCCGAACTTTTCATCTGAGCATTTAATTTTGTGAACAGTGTCAAGAGGGCCGAAAGCCAAAAGTGGAAGGACATATATTTAATTAAATTAACCCTCTCAGAGAGAATCCCTGAGGCCCACTGCTTGCATCTAACCAGACCTCGTTTAATAACCGGTCCTCAGAGTTTGGTGATAAATAAAACAATGTCCCCTAGTTGATCTGTTTCTTTATTCTCATTACCTTTCTACTACAAATTGTGTTAAAATTGGGAGGAGAAATTATTCTTTTGTTATTCCTGGGAGTAAAAAGGTTAAAAATAAATAAAGAAATAAAAACCAATAGATTACTTTTCAATTTAACTCACATTTAATGACAATCAGCATATGCAACATTTTTCAGTAAAGCAATGGTATTCAGTGCAACAGCTCTCAATCCTTGATGAATGTGGAATGGTTTATGAGACTCCCCTCCTCACAATATGCTTATTTCTTGATTATCTTAGTCTGTCGGGACTCTTATAGACGCTTGTGCAAACTTTTTGGCCACCTATGCTCCCAAAAGGGAACAAGTGGAAAGTTCGTTCGATATCACTGCTTCCAAACATGTGGATGGTGTGACAAGTAGGTCATTTATGTCAATCAATCTTGTACTTATGTCGTGTTACACCTGCCTGTCTGCCCACCTGAATTGTTAAAAAACAAATAATAAATTACTGCGAGTTGTTGGAGGCAATCTACCGGATAACTTAGAAAAGAAGTTGGGTTAAAGTTTGCATCATAGAAGCATTGTTTCTAGCTAACATTAGCATTGTGTGAGTGCTTCTCCTCAGACCATTTCAAATAATACAATAAACACCCTTATGAGCCTTCTACACTTGCCCTCCTCCCCCCTAAAGCCTTCCAATCATCTCTTTGTCCCCCCCCCCTTCCTCCTTGTCTCACCATATGGAGTCACCAATAATAATTGCAGATTGCAACAATTCAATTTTGGTTCTGCTGTTCTTCATCATTTGATGCTATAGTGCTTAACTGCTATACAAAAAAAATTGTCTAGCAGCATGGCAGTCAAAACATGGTGAGCCAAAGTGTTATTAATAACTCTGTATCACTGTAAAACAAATTATTTCATTTAAGACTTGCACTAAAGCTCATTTACATCTGTAGGGTTGCTCAGCTCAGAGCTGAAGAGTCAACCGGTGCTGTGTAGTCTATGGAAGTTCTCTGTTGCAACCAACTATTAACAGTGTCTTGGTATGAAACCTTTGAAGTACTGCAGACACAGACATAATGAAAGAACCGTCCATTATGAGGACTTGTGCACACCTAATCAAAGACATGTTAGCCACCCACAATGATTCTCAATATCATTGTGTATGTTTAGTGAAAAGGCTTACACAGCACAAAAGTGATTTCAAAGAAAAACACCTGCACAAAAATTTTGTATTCCACAAGTTAGCTACACATGGTGAAGGTTGTGAGAAATCTCAGTTTGTAGCATTTTGGTGTTTATATCAATCTGTATCTACAATTATAATTGAGGGAATTTGTGCAAAAAAGGGCATATATTGCTTTTGGGGCCCACTTCCATTTTTCTGCAGCATCAAGCAAAATTTAGCCCTACTGACTTGTTTGCCAAGAAAAAGTGATCATTATTTGCCTGGGCTGACTCAATCCTTGTTTTTGAGAAACATGTGTGCAAACTGTTTTATACATTGGGGTATAATCATTTATTGGTGCCACTATCTTAATCTTGAATGGCCACCGTAAGTCTTCTGGGCACAGTTTTAATGAAGTCGTGTGTATGTAAAGAAAACACTCTTTGAAAATGTAAGGCAAACGTTATTCTTACAGACAATAGTTTTTCAAGGATGCATAATATTTAACAGTAATTGCATTTAGTTTTCCCAAGATACTTCTGCCACTAACATAAATCATGACCTTAATAATTCTTGTTATCATGTTTTACTCTTTAACACTCCCAAGATCTGATTGTTAATTCTCCCCTCTAGCTTATAAATTAGTTCAGAGAAGTTGGTGTTGAATCAAGATAACAACTTCTACCTGACAAGTTTGAGTATTCTTGTTACCTGCTTGCTGGAAAAGGTACAGATATTACTGGGAGAATTTACATCTTAAACACTTCTGAGAGTTAGAGATGAACATCACTCAATACTCTCCTCAATAATCATTACTAACACAGACCTAAGCCCTAGCAGCTCCTTTTATATTGAATTATCCTTTCAGAAATGATAATAAATTAAGTTCTGTTTCCCATAATATTTCTTCTTAGTCTAAGGCAGTGTACACATATATTTATAGAAAAAGTCACTATATAATTTATGCCCACTTTTTTTCTACCAAGAGTGTTTTCTGAATCAACTAGATTTTTTAATGAACCTCTTTCATTACAGCAGGCTTAATAAATATCCTTCATGTAAATTAGCCTTACCAGCTCTATCAACCTAGTAAAACCACAAGAATGCTAGCTAAAAAGCCAGGCTGAGAAGACCTATTTGCATGTGTCTAATAATAAGATAATCATTCCTACTGCAACAAAACATGTCTCTTTGTCCTACAACAGCCCAAGAAGCATTGGGGGTCATAAATCAATATTGGGAAGAAATATTTTTTAAGGGAACCAAAGGAAAGTACATTTTCGCTTAACTCTAAGAAGGTCATACTGTAATATATAGCCAATTGAATCAACATATACCATCTGAGTGGCACAGCCGAATATTTGGAATAAAGTAAAACTTAACGAATGGTATCTTTGTGATATTAAAATTCTGATATTTCCTTTCCCATGTAATTTAAAATTTGCTGTTAGCACTTCAAGGTGTTTAAGAATTCCCCTTTCTAAATTACTTACAAATAGGTCCCAAATAAACTGCAACAGACCCTAGTTTCACAAAAACAGAGTTCTCACAATCAAGATGGCTACCCCTAAAAAAGACTTGATGATCTGATAAGGTGACAAAGGCAAAATGGAAATTTGATTTTTACCTCAATCACAACCACAACTGCCAGTTTCTTGTTTCCCTTGCAATTTCCTAACAAAGAAAGTTAATTTTGTTATCACAGGATAAAAATAGACTAACATTTCTGTTGTTTAGTTTAATCAAGGATTAAGCAGTAGGTGTTGATCTCACATGAAATATATTCTCCCTTTGGGCTGATACCCAATTTCCTTTGTCTCCAATCCCTCCTTGTGCATTATCAGAGTAGGTTTAAAATGAGGTTTTTGGCATATTTTGAAATCAACCTTGATTTTAAAGGCAACTCATGGAGTTAACCTTGAATTCAAGGTTGACTTGAAATAAACCTTAAGTTCTTGCACATTTTGAAGTCAGCCTTGATTTCAAAAGAAGGTTGCAGGTAAAGATTTTTGGTCAGGGAAGACATATCCCTTGTACAGTGAAGAAAGGGGTACAAAAAAGCAAAGGTTGAATCCATCACTCACAAAAGAAATAAAACCTGCTCTTGATCCAAAGCATGAAGAGTTGATTGCTAAGAAGGATAACAATATCATGGAGTTCCAGAGGTCCATACAGGCGGAAAAATGGAAATCAGTTTGACAGGCGGAAAGACGGAAATCAGTTTGACTTCTTCATGGCAGATAATACGGAGGGTTTGATGTAAGCTGGGATGGTGAGACTGAATCAGTTGATTGAGGCATTCAATTATTGTATTCTCAATGTATAAGTCAATGTCAGATCATCAATTTTGGGTTCATTAGGAAGTGCTGAGGAAGCCCAGCATGAGTCCTTCATTCTAGTTGAAGATGCAATCAGAAAGCCAGACATTTCAAAGAGTGTTCAGAGGTTTCAGCTCACCATTGATGAAGCAAAAGTCAGGCTTGATCTTGCAGTCTCACCAGGCACTTGGTTCATACCCTCAATTACTCTTCTGAACACTCAGAGTACTGTTGGGTATAATAACACCTGAAGAAGGCAAGTTCTGACATAAAGCTCATAGTCAACAAATCAGTGAATTTGGAGATGAAATCAGTTGGAGGAAGGCACACGAATGGGGGCTCATCAAAAAATAACAGACCAACCTCTCACCAGTCAAATCCAATTAATCAGACTTCAACTGAAGTTCATGTGAAGACAAAATCATCAAATAAAGATAAAACACAGAGCTCAAGCCAGAGAGACTAATTATGATATAGTAAAGGTCAGTTTGATTTCTGCAGGTCTGGTCTTGGCCTTCTTGATTCATCATTTTTTATTCTGAAATCACTCAACCATGAATATTGCAACCCCCAGGATCAGAAGCCATGCATTTTGACTGAGGAAGCTGATAACTGATTCAGCAGCTCTGGATATGAAGCCAATGATCAAACTTATTAGACTGGGTAGAATTGCAGCAAATTTACCTCCAAGAGTCTTAAAACCATCTCAAACTCCCTTGGCAACAGACTTAAGGCCTTTTCCAACTGCCAAGACAACAGCATTCAAGATGATAATATTCACATGTTCACTCATGGACACTTTAGAACTCATGAGTGAGACATTGTGAAAAATCTGAAGAGGGTGTGAAATTTTTCAAAGGGCACAATTCCCTGAATAATTTAACTTGTCTTTGAAATAAAGGTTGACTTCAAATGTGCAAGAACTGAACTTTGAAATCAAGGTTGATTTCAAGGTTAGCTTCATGAGTTGCCTTTAAAATCAAGGTTGATTTCAAAATGCACCAGAAACCCCATTTTATAACTACTTTCAGCCTTAGGACACTAAGGAAATTGAGAATTTATCGAGGCAAATTTTTTTTGTAAGATTAAACTCTACTCACAACATAAACAGTGAATTCTGTGGTTGAATGAAAGTAAATACTGATTCAGCCCATAGGAACAAATTCTGAAGTGAGAGGGCTTGAAACTCACCTTTATTTTGGTGAATCATGTTGGGTCAGAGGCCCTCTCTTTTTTGGTAGGGTGGGGTTGGGAGGAGTTCTGAGGGTATCTCCCTCTAGGGGAATTGTTAAAACCTGCAAGCTCTTTTACCACTTGGGATAGTTTTACACACTCTTGAGGATTGAAATAGCATATCAGAGAGCAGTCTAGAGATGATGGACATCACACACCACCAGAAAAAATTGAACAAACATTTAAGCTTACGTACCATTATGACATTAATGAAAAATAGCATTTTTGTCTCTAAGTAATACACTTAATGTTGTCATTAATTGTCTTTAATACATTTTCTCCCAAAGAGTGGAGCCATGTCCTCTCCTCTGCTTCTGTAGCCCCACTTTAACAGCAAGTAAACTGAACTGAGCTGGATTCAAACACACCAATTTTTAAGTTATAATAATTTGAATTTCTTTGAAAGGAAAAACCATACAAAACCCGAAAAATCAAATACCGAGAACTACGCAAGGGAACGAAGTGACCCATCCCCAGTACTGTACATACAACAAAATCAACATTATATTGCTCCGACTAGAGCACCGATTTTTTCTGTCTTTAATGTTAAATAGCGATTTGTTAAAATTCCTACCATTGTTTGCGAGCATTGAGAGATACATGAAAAACCTTCTTACGCAAACAGTGCAATATCGACTCTTTTTCTAGCTCCGCTGACGTTTAAATTAAGTAAATGAAATAAGTTACCTTTTATTTTCGGAACATGAGCGTTGAAATGCCTCCCATTCTTTTGTGCATTTAGATCTGTCACCGTTATTTCTATCCAAGCATTCTTTCAATGCGTTATGATCACAAAATGGCGTTACAGTCCTGAAATTTTCTGTATCAGCGTCCGCCATGTTGGGTTCAAATAACCAGAACACACTGCGAAATTAGCCGGCTGCTCATGCGCATTTTAGTCGCTTTGCATCATGGGTTGGCCGTTTTTACGAAGTGCTTGAAATAGAGCGGTGTTTGAGTTCAAAATTGATAGACTGTGAAGGAGAAATAGCCGATTCTGTGGTATTTTATGCGGTCGAAGAGCCGCTTCTGAAGGTGACGAGGATAATTCAAGGCGAATCTAAGACAAGGTTGGTCTTCATCAGAGTAAAAGCTTTGTAAATACGAAAACTGACGTAATTCTTGATGGCTAGCCAGCGCGTAGTTAGCTCAGAGCATGGGTGGGTTTAGCTTGCCTCTGTTAAAATATGCGTAATATTATGACTGTGTGGCAATCTGACATTCACCTAGCTTTTTTGTTTAAGGCATAACCCTTTTGAATTTCAACAGTGTTTCCTCTAACGCCCGACAAGTCTTGTTTCTAAAGCGAAAACGATCTTTCAACCAAGGCCCTTATAAAGTTGAGTTTCACACTGATCATGTTAGGTGACTTTGTTCAATGATCTACTTTTATCAAACGATATTACGATATCCTAACCGGTACAATTGAACCGGCTTTCTCTCTTGTGGTAGGTTCCTTTAGATAAAGACTTACGCCTTTTGTTGATTTCTTGTTTTCTGTATGGCCCCTCAGAATAGCAGAGGTTGTGGCTGTGAGCGTTACTCGAACAATTGTGATGGTTACAGTGTACAGATCACCGCGAAAGGAATGTTTTCACAGCAATCCAAGGTCGTAGTTGCTTGATTTAGATGAAAGTTGATTGAGGAAATTAGAAAAAATTCTGAGCCATGGTGTTGACTCCCAGACAGAAAGAAGAACTGTAAGTGATTGTATATTTCTCGATTATTACGAATTGATTGACCTGTAGTTTCTAGATCGTGTGTACGATCGGAGGTGTACACGATTTTTCTCTGTACAATTTTTGATATGAAGTTTTTGCGGCGAGCAAGAACGGGCAAGATCTAACTTTTTGTCGACAGCTATCATGTCGAATACGTTTATTGCAAATTAACCTGGTAAATTTTGTAAGCGGTCAGGATCATTGCGGATTAGGGCATTGTACTTAATTATAAACAGGCAGGCAAGAGTGATTCTCTCAAGCTCCCGTTGAAACAAAGTAACCTCTCCTTATGGACAGCCCTAGCAGTTAATTTTTCTTAAAAATTTATTCCTTTTCTTCTACAGTCATAAAGCCATAGCAGATTATCTATACCAATGTGGCTTTGAAGATGCCTTGAATGCTTTCAAAAAAGATGCCAGCATGGTGAGAGACTTGCATTAACCTTGTTTTAGATGCACTTAGTTTTTGTCATATGTGTTCTTTTGTGGTGTCATATTACCTCGATATTTAAACAAAAATTTACACAAACCCTCCATTTATGGTGACATTCATAGATTTAATTGTTATTACAACCATTACAACCTCTAAACTCATTTTATACGTGTGTGAACATACACTTGTTCAAAGTTCATTCCTTGCCATCAGCTCTAAACATTTGCACCTGTGATGTTGTGTCAAAAAGTAATTGATACAGCCCTAGTGGCTGTAATCTAATGGCACATATTTTAAGTGATGCCATAAAATTGGCATTGTTTAATTTCTTTTAATGTCACTGTTTGCTTTGTCCTTTCACTTAATGTGCTTGAATATTTCAATTAATTTTTTAGTCTATAACTGTTATATGGACTCGGGGGGGGGTTCTTCTTGTAACTGTGAAATAAACAAAGAGAAGTATGTTAAAGGAATTTCAATAACCATAATTATTAATAATTAACTTTAGATCATATTGATGAAGTTATTTATTTGCATTGAAGTGTTTGGTTTAGTCTATTGTTGTTCAAGTTTGAAATCAATTGCTATGGATTTGGAATTTAGATTTGGCTAAGATTGTTTAAGTGGTGTATGCATGTGGCATTTGAACAAGTTCTCTACATTTAATTCTTTGTGTGTATGAAGTCAATCACTTCGGAATATTTTATTTTGATCATTGGTATTGTAACCACTCCAATAAACTTGTTGAAAGGGTAAGTAACCCTTGAAGAGGGCTGGGAGGAAACCTCACTATTTCTGGGTTTTGTTCTACCTGTTAGCTAGTGAAGTTATCCCTGATGTGTTACTTTGATTGACCACTTCATACAATTTAAATCTTACTCAATTTTACAATGCCTGTAATTACTATGACAGACCAGAAATAAGAAACTCAAGCTCAGTTTTCACAGTAGAACATCTGATCAAATTCCTAAAATAACAGATGTAAATACAATTCTCTTTCATGTGAGCCAAAATGCATGATTTAGTTAAAGAAAACAATTCATATTTTTTGTAATTTTGTAGAAGATTTGTTAGTACCAATATTCATTGTGATTTTCCTCACCTCCAGCCTGGTGAACTGGACAAAAAGTATAGTGGCTTGCTGGAAAAGAAATGGACATCGGTAATTCGTCTACAAAAGAAGGTTAGATGCTATCTTTAGGCAGGTATAAGTGATATTCATGGCTGGAGACCATTGTGGATGTTGTCTTAAATATCATGTTTTAATTTTTTCCATACTTGTGATAGTTTCCTTTTGCCCTGGTATAAGACACTTTTTGTTAGTAGACTATGTTGACCTTGAGTCAATGTAATGCATCTAAATATTTTCTTAAGTTCCATTGTCAGAGGGTAGTTGTCTTGGGTAGTTGTCTAGGGTAGTTTTAATCTAAATGTTAGTTGCCTTGGCAAGTTTCGAAATTACCCATATGCTACTATTGCTCTAGCCCTCTTATTTACTTACTTAATGTTTTACATCAGAGTTTTTATTCAGAGTACATGTGCAAGCCCAGATGATTACTATATGACCTTAGCTGAATCATTAATAATATTATCATGTAGTCCAAATATTCCATATATTGATTAACCATGTTAATTACAAATCATTAATAGTGTAGTGCCATTTTCATTTGAATGTGGAAAATCCTTTTGTTAGATTTGAATTTACTCAGATGAAGAATTAGTGGAATTAATTAGAATCTTTGGATTAAATCCAATCTGATTAATTTGTTTTCAGGTAATGGACTTAGAATCCAGGCTATCAGAGGCAGAAAAAGAAGCAAGCACAGGTACACATTGTAGGGGTTGTTGCAACATGTGCAACATCTTCATCTGAGGATTTCCCATATTTTCCAGCCACTTACAACAGGAGAACTAATTCTTTTGTCTTGAGCTGTCCTTTTGAGAGCTGGAATGGAAAACCCTGGCTGAAATTGTTGTTTCTTTTGCATTGGTAACAATTTTAAATATTGATCAACCAAATAGACAACGTACGGATTAAGGCAACAATGACCATTACTCTTTGTATAGTGACTTGACTAGTACTTGTAATTACCTGTAGTGCAGTACCTTTGTGTTGGCAGGGTAAGCAGTGCTAAGAAGGGTTAGCATTACTTCCAAATTTCAACATCTATTATGTACCAGAAACAAAAAGTAATTAATAAAAGAGAGTGATTTTGGAGGGACAACACTCATAGAGATGTGGTCAATTTGTTTGCTTAGGTTCTACATTAAAGAAAACGCGTTCCCCTGAGGATTGGATGCCAAGACCACCAGAACGGTATGAACAGAAGTATTTCAATGTGTAATCTTAAAACAGCTTTGTGCTGTTCCAAGCATGACCATAATCCCTTTGAAGAGGTCATGTTTGACTTTGGTAATCCTTAAAAAACATCCTGATTTGTTTATTGATTTTATTTCAAACTGTGGCCTTTGAGTCACCCATTTTCTTGGTAATCACTTCTGTCTTTCTGGGCTGTTCATCTGTAAAGAGTGTAAAACTTTGACATAAATCTTGAGGAAATGAAGAAGTTTACCTTAAAATTACTGTAAAGTGCTTGTTGGCTTGTTGAAGATGATCCTCTGCTGAAATTTTTTTCTTTTGTTTTACTCTTGTAGATATGCATTAACTGGCCACAGAAGCCCAGTTACAAGAGTGTTATTTCATCCAGTATATAGGTGAGATTTGTGAACTTTTACTTTGACTTCATGGGTGATAAACTTATTAAAGAAAGATGTTATTAATTTGTCATGAATTTGGGACAAAGAGATGATGTTGTATTCACCACAACAAACTGAACCCCAAACCTTTGGATTGCATGATGTTATGTTTACCGCTGAGCTGCAGATAGCTTGTTAGTCTATATCCATCGAAAAAGTAGCGAAAAATTAGCATTTAGAAAAGAAAACAACACCTGTTTTATTGAACTTACTTCTGCATTTCTTTTAGTGTCATGGTAACAGCATCAGAAGATGCAACAGTCAAAGTCTGGGACTATGAGACTGGAGATTTTGAACGAACCCTTAAGGGCCATACAGATGCAGTACAAGATCTCTCATTTGATCATACTGGGAAAGTTTTAGGTAAGATTTGATTGGACTATAAAAGGATTCTAGATGAAAGCAAATTTAGGAAAAAATGGTAAGAAAGAGAGGACGTTTTTTTTTGATAGCTTATAAACCAGATGTTTCTCTCAGGCAGATGTTTTTAAAATAAAATTTCCTTTGTATTTTTACTCCAGCATCATGTTCAGCAGACATGTCTGTCAAACTATGGGATTTCCATGAATTTGAGTGTATCAAAACAATGACAGGTGGGTGATGTGTTTGTCATGTAATAGTTGTCTTCATAAAGTGAAGCTTCATAAGCTAAATTGTAATTCATTGGGGTACAAGCTTGCAAACAACAATGAGTCCAGCATTTTCTGTCAGTGTGTTTTTAAAGTTATTTATTCTGATTGGTAGACATATTGGAGCACTGTTTCATTAGTGTTTTTTTCCACCTGAAGGATTTAGCTTCAAATTATGTTGTGAGGGATAAAAGTTTCATTTCTGGAACAGCTTATGTGTCTATTTGAGCTTTTGTTTGGGTTTTTGTTGGAGTAGTTTTTTCCCTTTTTTTAATTTTTTTAAAATTAATTAATTTTTTTTACAAATAACACAAATACTTGCTAATCAGGGGGTGTTCATTATTTCAAATCTCCTTAAAAGTTTTCTTTTATTTTCTTTTTCAGGACATGACCATAATGTTTCTTCAGTGACGTTTTTGCCGTCAGGAGATTATTTGGTGTCATCATCCAGAGACAAAACTATAAAAATGTGGGAAGTAGCCACTGGGTGAGTTCAAGTTAAAAAGGCGAATTACACAAGTGGCAAGTTTGTGGATAAGATTAGCAACTATACAGACACTCATAGTATTTTAAAATTGGGTGGGAAAAGGTAGATAAAGGCAAATGCATCAAAAGTAACTGCTTGCCAAAGTTCAGATGACTTTTTACCAGATAAAAGGAAAAAAGAAAAAAGAAAGAAGAAAAGCATATGAAACCTTTTTTCTCCCAAATAGCCAGTGGAACATATCATCTACATGTAATTGGTAATTAGGTACGTGATGTACAGGGTCGGAGATATCAAATTCTTTTAGGGATGGTAGAGGGTAATCAAGTTCCTAATTGGGATTTCAGGCATTTAATCCCAAGCAAAGCAACATGAGATGTCCTGATCTCTTGTTTCTTGTATTACAGGTATTGTGTGAAGACATTTCAAGGGCACAGAGAGTGGGTCAGAAAAGTTCGTGTTAGCCCAGATGGTAAGTTGTGTAATCATTCCGATGTCTTCTGTATACACAATGGGTACATGTTATTGTCATGGCCAAAATTTTGTTGTTATTTAATATCTTTCAAACTGGTTATGTTTTTTTGTCAAATATACAAAAGTAACTGGAAACAATGGAAAATAAGAGTAGACTAATGTTAAAAAATCCAAACCTTATCATTTTAATGGACAGTTTGATTTTGTCAGAGATGTTTTAAAACTTTCTGGTTTAAAACCTTTCAAAGTTCTTTTGGTGGTACCAGTTAAATCAAGAAAAAATGTTTTAAAAGGTGTCGGGGGGGGGTGGGAGGAGAATTCAGGAAAACTAAGAGATGTGTCAGAGGACTCTATCTATTTAGTTTAATTTCCAGTGTTGTAATTAAAATACAATGAGTAGCTTGTTTTTATTGTTCTGCAGGTGTGTTGATAGCAAGTTGTTCAAATGACCAGGTAGGCAATTAGATTAGATTATTGAATGTTTCATTTAGAGCAGCCTTACATGTAGATACTTTTATCTGCTGTCTGAGATTTAAATGCAGTCAATTGAAACAAAATCTCATGAAAGGAAGTGTTTGCTCTACAGACAATCCGTGTGTGGATTGTGGCCTCTAAGGAATGTAAATGTGATCTGCGGGACCATGAACATGTAGTGGAGGATGTTGCATGGGCTCCAGAATCAGCCCACCCACATATTGCAGAAGCTGCAGGATTGGAGGTACATAAGATATTTCTAAATAGCTGTGGAGGAAGGATCAAATTTGTCTCCAGTCCTTATGTGCTCAGTATCTGTGATCATTTAAATGAAAAAGCAAAATAATATTGTTCTTATTAATGGAAAGGTGAATCTGTTTCAATCTCTTTCTTTTGTGGAGTGTAGAAAAATTCTGTTGCTATCACAGTCATTAGAAAATCTTTAAGAGGCCAAAATATTATCACCTAGTGTAATGGCAAGATACTTTCATACTTTTGAATTTTTTGAGCTTAAGTATTTGTCATGCTGATGGCTTCTGTTATTATCTTGGCTTACTCTGATGTAGGGTGGAAAACGAGGAGGAGCTGCAGGTCCATATTTAGTGTCAGCATCTCGAGATAAGACAATCAGACTGTGGGATTGTGGTACTGGAATGTGTCTAATGACTTTGGTTAGTTAACTATGCAACAGTTTCTTTGGCCAAGTATTTTGGTTTGATCAAAGGCTGATTTACATTAAAAATGGAGTCATAGCAAAACATTAGAGGCACTGACAAATATGACACTAATTGTGCTAATGGCATTGGTTTGCCAACATTGGTTGTCACAAACATGATTTTTCGTCGTCCATTTTTATTTTGATTAGGTTGAAAGTACTTTCTCAACTCTGATTACAACTCTCAGTCTGACTTTGTAAAATCAGCCTCTTGTGGTAGAAAATTTATATATGATTGATGAACTGTATTGTAGACCACAGAATAGCTTAGTAGGTGTTCATATAAATCTGACAAATAATTTTACACATTTGCTCTGATAGGTTGGCCATGATAATTGGGTGAGAGGTGTTCTGTTTCATCCTGGAGGCAAATATATAGTTAGCTGTTCAGATGACAAAACTCTTAGAATATGGGACTACAAAAATAAAAGATGTGCAAAAACGTTAATGGCTCATGAACATTTTGCAACAACTTTAGGTAAGTTTCTCAATATGTTATCACCATTTGGCAATGCTGTTTTCTTTTGCTCTTTCCCCCTTGTTAGGCCACTGAAGAACTTGTCTTGAACATTGTTCACTTAACTCTTAAAAGTGATAAAGACCGAATTTCTCCTGACAATAACTATTAAATATCAAGAAATTAAGTGATGAGAATAACAAAAAATGTCAATCAGGAATTGTTAGTTGATCCAAGACCAAATTCTCTGAACTACCATCATATGCATTGTATGGCAGACTGAGAGAAGAATTACTATTGTGATCTTAAGAGCAAAAGAGTCAAGTAGCCAGTCCTTTTCTTCATCAGCTTGTGGCATAAAATTTTGAAAAATAACTGTCAATCTTCATAATGTAATTTTCTCTTTTTATATGTGTTTAAGATTTCCACAGGTCAACTCCGTTTGTAATAACTGGAAGTGTTGACATGACAATCAAAGTGTGGGAATGTCGTTGACAGTTGTGGATGGAAAGCAAGCTCATAAACTTATCTCTAATTAGTACCCAAGTGGAAAATTGATATTTTAATTCAAGAAAACTTGCAGGACTAGTGTATGTGGAGCAAGAGACTCAAACTACCCAAGAGAAGTACTCTGATTCTCAATTAGTGTTTCTCAAAAGAGATTAGAAAACTGTACTGGGCTTGATCTCACAGAAGAACAAGTCTCGTATACAGAAAGAAACTTATCAATATTATATTTTGTATTTGGAGAAGTTTTAAAAAAATTGCTTCTGTGAATTCATTGCTGGTTGTGGAGAATTCAGTTCGTTGCAGCGTCTTTGGGCAGAAGTTGGTGTTTGATGATAGTCCTGATTTAGTTTTGTGGTATTTATGATGGTTCTTAACCAGCCGTGATGTCACTCTGTTAGTAAAATGTAAGTTTTGTTGCCTCTATGATAAAAATCTCTTGTGTGTTGTACATCATAGCAGAATTTAATCAATATGGACATTATGGGGCAGAAGGAAAGCTTCCAAAAACTAGCCCACAGTAACTATTCTAGCATATTTTCAAGGTTGGTACAAAAGACCAGAGGAATCTGCTCAAGAACTGTTGCCTGTTGTATCTGTTTTGGGGCTTTTTGTATTATCTCTAGGGGTACTGTAGGAAATGAGGCAAGCCCTGAGCTTCAAATGAAAAAAAGGTATTTTATGTATTATTGATATCATTCTGGGTTAGGTGTAAAATTTACAGAAATGAAACTCGAAAGATCTCTCAACAGAGCCCTGAATCTTGTTAGGTGTGTTCACTGTTAGTGCAGTGGTTTGTACTTTTTTCCAAGGGTTATTTTGTTTGGTAACAGCCCAAGTTCATTTTGAACAGGTCAGCCTCAGCTTGCTTCCTTTCACATCATTTAATTTTTTTTTTTTTTTTTTGAGTAATGTTGGCTTTTGCTTACATAAATAACAACCTCTGGCAATTAAGCCCTCAGTGGTATTGTCTAATTGTCTTGCTCTCAGGGACTTTTTCCACAAACATGAGACAGAAAGAACAAAGTAGCTTGGGTCCAATGCACTGCAGGGGATCCTTTTAATGTGACGACAATAAAACAGTTTCATTAATTACATTGATCAAGAATTTCTTGGGCTGATTTCTTTAACATATCCACCTCTTTCTACCTCCAGAAAATATTTTGTTTGTTTTTCTAGAGGTTGAAAGACAGGTAGTGTTTATCTGAAATTCTCTAATATCGACCTTGAATTATCTGTAAGATCTTATTAAAGAGATGTGAATACCGTTTTATGTTTCATTGATGGTACTATTTGATTTATTTGGAAATACGTAACTTTGAACTTTGTAGTGGTTTTTGTCTATGGTTCACCAGTAATGGTCAAGGATTAGTAACGTGCCTACGATTAAGAGATTGGCGATCAATTATTCTCATCCAAGAGGATCGTTTTTAACATCAATTGACACAGTACTACACAAATTTTTCGTTTTATGGTTGGTCTCTCTGCGACGCTGCTCCTATTTGGCATGCGACTTGACTTTCTCACGGTGTTCAATTTTCAAATCAGCTCACAGCGCCAGGATCATGCAAAGCTTTTCAGGAATCTCGAGGGAGGCTTCTTGCGGGGAATTTCTAAGGGATCTTGCCGGGAGAGGAGAAGTGAACGTCGGGTTCTCTCCACAATATTTCCCAATGGACACTAGCTAAGATGGAGACAATTTAGAACCAGTAACGGTTCAAGAATTCTGTAATGCGTTTTATTCCTGTTTTCTTACGGGAAAGAGATTTACGAATAGCCATGCTCTTCTAGAATTGTTTCCTAACTATTACACTAGTGTTGTTTGTCAGTCATCGACCTCATTGCGATTCTACTTCAATCTGACTTTCTACTTTGTTTTAGACCGGGTTACAATCGTCGGGTTAGGCATTTCTTATCAATAGGGAAAAAAATAGAATAAACTACACCCTTTATAATTACGCACTTATTAATTATAATACCGTGCACTAAATCGTTAATTGACAATTTTTTCTTGGTACTCATCCACCCTTTACACCCAAATATTAATGTTCACGTTTTCCATACTGTTCACAATACATTTCCCTTTGGTAAAGAACTTTTTAAACAATCGAGAGCTTCTGTAGTTGGTGATCATTCCCTCTTCTCATGACACTAATCGTTGACTCACCAGTGAAACTGTAATTAGGTGCGGGTTTAACGTCTAGACAAACAGCTGTCGAGTTTTGGATACTAATCTGACTCCCAAATTTCTTTTTCTCTGCATATTCTTTCAGCAAACAACCTTTTTCTGTCCAAACCTGCATCGCACACTTTCTCTACTTCAAGTACTTTCTATTCTTGTTAGTCAGCGGTTTGGATTTGGGGCTCAAATTCACCATAGTAACTTACAGATTGCAATAACAAGAAGCGGGAACTTCAGTAGAGTGAACTATCAGCTACATATTTCATGTTTACCTGACTTTCTGGTCTTCTCAAAGCAAATATTTTCTGCGTAGAAAAGTGAATAATGGAAGAAGATTTAGAGCAAAGGTCTGGGGCTCAATCGCGTGTAGCAAGCGCAACTTCGTCGCATGTAGATGGCGAAGGAGATGTAGTCGTGGAGGAGGTGAAAGCCACTCCGACATCTTTGGTGAGTTTTGCTACGATCTATGTGTATTTCATCTATAAAAAACGCACTTAATTCATAATCATGTTGCTGAATAAGTATTTTATTCTCTCTCGTAGAATATGTGTTGGTCGTTTGGTGTAAACAGGCATGTCCCAGTTCAGAATTTATCGAATGGAAGTCGAAAGGTACAAATTTCAAAATTGTGTTTTAGTTGGTTTTGGTTGATTTTTATCTTAAATTTACAGCGACATTTCAAACTCTGCGACAAATCTATAACGTAAACTTAACTTACGTACCATGACACGAAATGAACCAACGTCTGTCTGTCCTACCTACAATACCAACTCATCTTGATGCACAGACCGAACACATCTTTTCCTTTTTTTCAGGTGGCGTTCTATGTTTGTTCTCATGTTGGAATGATGTTTGACTGGGAAGCAAACAAACAACAACTTCTACAAGGCCATGTAAGATGTAGTCCTAAAATTTTTCAATTCTTACTTTGGGAAAATGTTTAGTCGTTATAGGAGATTTTTCCCACAGATCAACTTGTGCAGTTATGCTAACACCTCGTTACTCCCTCCCCTCCTCCCCTTAGGAATTTTTCTAGCATTTACGATAAATTAACACGCTTGTTACTATTATTCTTTCTTTAGTGTAATGCTATTGCCTGTACATGTGTCAGTGAGGACAGGCGATGGGTTGCAACCGCAGACTGTGGTAAAGACAGTATGGTTATTATCTGGGACTCATTCACAACGTAAGAAAGTATCTGTTACATGTAGCATAAATTTGATAAAAAGTATGAAAGTGGCATAAGTGTGCAGGGAATGCAGATATACAAGACATTTTTTTATTTCCTTTATTTTCTATTTTTTCATGTTTTTCATTATTTTTAGATGGACAAAACATGCACATAGCTACATTTTCTTATTGTGCTTTTGCTTACCAAGTTCCATTTAATGATGTTAATTCTGCCCATCATCAAAATTAAAAAAAAAACATACAATCATGACATTCTGTTTTCATTTTTATTATCCATCCCAAAAGTCCCCCATAATTACTGGAAAAAGCCTTAGTTAGCAATCAAATACAACCCTGCATGTACAAGAGATTTGTAAACATAACTGTAATTCTATTACTCTAAGTATTGATTTTTTGTAGCTCATCACAATCAAGTGGGGGGTATGGTTCGATGTGTATTTCTTGTGTTGCAGTATTCCAGTACAGACAATATTTGAAGCTCATCCCAATGGCTGTGCAGCCATTGCCATGTCTCCAGATGCTAAATATATTGCCACAATAAGCAGTACCCTACCACAGGTAATAAGTAAACCTACTTGTCCAAAATGGATAACCAAGTGCAACTTTGGTAAAATTTCTGCACAGCCCTCCTCAACTATTGTAAAACAAAGTCTTAGCATCAAAGGCAGTCTACTATTGTTGCCATTGTTTTCTTTATCCAAGAACTGTATATGTAACGAAGTATATAACAGCTGTATTAATGGTTAATAATTTCCTTCATAGTAGTATGAAGGATACTTACCACATATGTGCCTAGTATATGGCCTAAATTACCAAAAAGTTCTCTGTAGTTTAGTGGTATGGCAGCAAATAGGGAAATTCTGAACTCTGAAGTTCAAATATTTGTGCATGATCCTTGGTAGTTTTCATTCATCCACTCACACAACAAACTATTAATAATATTTTTTCATTGAGAAGAGCAAATTTATGAACATTTCCCTTAATGTGCTTTTCTGATGGGAAATAAATATTTGAGTTCAGTTATTTTCCAATTTTTCAAAGTTGAAGGGAAGTAGTAGCAGCAGCTAATCTGAGATCCTGTGTGATCCAAGAGACAGAAATATTTTCAATCTAAAAATATACACTTTGGGAAAAGTATTTAGAGTTAAAAATAGGGTGGGTATCAGTTTTTACTGTAATAAATGAATTATCAAGTGATCCAGTACAATTTAATCATGACTTATCTGAATAAACTTTTTTATTCATTTGGTTGTTTATCAGACTGTATCTGTGTGGGATTGGACAGTTAATGGTGACATGCCGATGTGTTCTGTAGTGCTCGGTGATGACTTTGGAAAACAGGTAGAAATGTTAGCTTGCCAATAGCATTAAAGATGTTACTAAGTAACTTTGAATAGTTGGGAGAAATTGATAATATGGTCTGTGGCCTGCTTTTGGTACAAAATGAATGTGTCATGGACCCCCTCTTTTCTTTGCTTGTCTTTACCTTCTCTTCGTTGCTCAAGCCATTTGATTTACTTGTATTTCTGAAGATTATTTAGTTTGGTTGTGCAACAAAATGTACTTCTTCTTTTCTTAGGACAAATTTACAGTTTGGTTAAAATATTTGTTATTCTCACAGAATTACATCACATTTAACCCAGAGGATACAAGTGAACTTGTCAGTAACAGTGAGTCTCAAGTTATTTTTTATCAGTGGGTAAGTCAACAGAGAAAATGTTGTTCTAAGAAGTAACTAATAGCAGCCCACTCCATGGCAGATATCAGACTGAGTGTGATTTGCTTAAGGGTGAATGTTTAGAATGACTCCTTGTGACATCTAGACTTGTCCAGGGGTTAACTATTGGTGATTATCAAAATAGATTGTTTTTATGCTTTGAGAGGTATATAAAAATATTAATCACTTACATGTTGCCTTTTCTACCTGACCTTTGGATTCCAGAGCTCTTAATTTTCTCCTAAGAGATTCTTGAATGAATTAGATTTTGTGTTGTATGGTATATTATTTTGCCAAATACTAAACATTCTTCTGATCATTAAATTTTCAGAATGAGAAGGCTTTAGAGTTTGTTGCTCCACCCCTCACAGACAAGGTAATACTTATGGTCTTTGTTTATATCTTGAGAGCTTTTTTTCGGAGACAATGTGTCAAATAATTTCACCAAAAAAATTACTTTAATCAATCATTAATTACTTTACTGTAAGAGAAAAAAACCAAAGTTACAAATCTGATTAGGTGACATTGCAATTTAAGTGAACCACCAAAAACATAATGGATTTTACAGTCAACATGCATTGTTGGAGATATCTTGCTGTTAGATCAAATCATTCTTGCTTGATTCCTGGAATATGAGCTGATGACTGGGTCTGAGTTAGTTTCCAGTGACCAGGGCAGTATTGTACCAGGGGGCTGGATAGTGACAACAGAATTTAACCCTGGAATACCCCAGGCACCCATGTTCTATCTTAAAGCAAAGTAGCAGGTTGATTGCATCTTTTTGGTTTTTAATCTATTATACATGTAGCAGACTGAGATAGACTCCTCAGAGGGTGTGGTATCTTATTCCTCCTCACAATATCACCCCTGAATCATTCATTAAGGTGACAAGAATCAAGGAAATGATCACCAACTGGAGAAGCTCTTGATTGTTACCCAAATTCTCATTGTTAGCACATTAGGAAATGTCTAAAGAATAGTATGGGGAATATGCGTCCTGATGTTAGGTAAAAAAGGGTTAAACTTGAATTTAAAAAATAATTTATTTGCTCTTTGTAGGATTTCAACCGGAGTGTTGGGCTCTACAGTCAGTCCATTTTTCAGCTCCAGTCCCCCAGAGCACTCACAGCCACAAGTTGTGGAAACATAGTGGTTTGGGAACATACTGGAGGGGACTTAAAATGTAACAG